ATCAAACACAAGATATACTCCCTCCGTCCCCTTTTAGATTACAATATTCTCTTTTAGACAAAATTAAGGAAGAGTTAAATCAGTATTTTTTCCCCAAATTACCCTCCAAATAGTATAGGCATGGGTGGGTGGGTGAGATTTTGACATTGAAATGATAAAGGGGAAGGAGGGTAAAAGAGTCCATTTAGTGTAAAAGTAAACACTTTGTGATTCTTTTTGAGACAAAAATAAGAGGGAATATTGTAATCTAATTGAGGACGGAGGGAGTATTTATTTTACACCAATTTTGAACCTCACCCGATGTCCCGATCTCTCAAAAGTCTAATTTTTTACTCTCCTAAAAAAATTAAATGCTTATATTTTATTGTGGTTAATTGTTTTTGTTAAATAATTCTAACTAAACAATAATTTTATTTTGGTTACTACTCCTTAATTTTTAAAATAAATTTTACATTGTGTATATATTTTAAAACTAATTTATATTATTAGTTTGAAGTTAACTATTCGAAAAAATAATTGTAGTAAATTGGCAAATCAACATATGCCCAGCTTGCTTATAGTAAGAAAAAGTATGAAATTAGAGGAATATCATGTGATATTGATGTGCAAAAGAGAGATAATACACTAATAAAGGTATAAAAGGTATTTATACTTCTCTTTTATTTTTTCTTGAAGTGCCCTTGACCCCTTGTACAATAAATTATTGTTGATAAAAAAGTTTTGTTACTTCACTATTTAATTATTCAATTTTTACTTATTTTATGCGTTTAAAAAATTTATCTCCCTATCAAAAAAAAATCTTTCCTTTTTCATCTTAAATAATTTTTCATATTTTTCAATCTCATTATGAAAATACAGGCGGTGTTTCAAATTAATTTGATCTATTTGACTTCACAAATTGTTGGGACTGCGCGTGCTCTCACCCCAACCCTGCATTAGTATGAAATTGTCCGCTCTAGGCCTTTTGGGCACTTCCCAAAAGGCCTCATACTAATGGAGTTGGGTGAACCTTTTTACTCATACACTTCCGGTGTGGGACTTGGAGGAATCCCAACAAACCTCCCCTCAACCAAGGACCACACAACTTCCGACCTCCCCTCCAGCGGCAATCCATTTTTTCCATTTTTATCTGCTAACCATCTTGCACCGCCGCACACTCTTTGTGGGACACGCCGCCCAACATCCTGTCGGGAAGATTTTCGACACAAGGCTCGAACCGCAGATCTTTCCTTCGCTGGGCTACACCATTGTGATCCGCCAAATCATCTTGTACCGCCGTGGCTATAACTTCACGGGACACGCCGCCCGGCCTCCTCTCGTCGGGAAGACTTTTGACACAAGGCACCACCTGCGGATCCTCTTTCTTGGTCTTGGTCCTATTGTTGCACCGTCACACCGAGATTTTCTACACTAAACAGTCCGCTGCTCACGCCCGCAAGTACCTGGGCTCTGATACCACATGTTGGGACTGCGCGTGCTCTCATCCCAACCCCGCATTAGTATGATATTGTCCGCTCTAGGCCAAGCCCTCACGGATTTATTTTTGGGCACTTCCCAAAAGGCCTCATACTAATGGGGTTAGGTGAACCTTTTTATTTTGGTTCATTTACTCATACACTTCCGGTGTGGGACTTGGAGGAATCCCAACACAAATATTAAGAATGTGAAAGCAAATGTAAAACAATCGTTTAAAAGAAAAAGAAATACTTTAGACCAAATTTTCTCTCCTAAAAATAAAGAAAAAATTTAAAAATCATTTTGAGATGGATAAGAAAAAAGTAGAAAACTTATGTGAAATAAAGTAGTCTAAAATAATTCTCTTTTGAACACATTCTAACGATATGAATAATAAACAAGTACTCCCTCCGTCCCAGAGTATTTGTCCACTTCCATTTTTACACACCATCCAATGCACTTCTTTAATCCATTTTATCTTGTAATTTGTATATTAAAAAATTATAGAAATTATATATTAATAATCTATATATTATGACAAATCAAACAAGATCACGCATGACTATATTTAGGCTTACACATTGAAAGAATTTGATGAGTGAAAGTGCTTAGATGAACAGTTCCAAAAGTCAAAAGTGGACGAATATAGTGAAACGGAGGTAGTAAAATTTAATTTGAGACGGAGGGGGTGATAGCACTAATAATAAGTAAGCATCTGTACGTTCATTAAAGAAAAGAATATTAATTTTAAAATAGTTTTTTATGAACTAGAGTTGTAGCTATTTCGATAGTCAACTTCCCATATAATATTTGGTAGACAAAAGTTGCCATAAGGAAACGCAAGTTTGGTGATAACAAGTAAAGCCCGTCCGTCTTTGTTAAAAGGGTGGGTGGAGCCGTGGAGGAATAAAGTTTTGGGTCCAACTTGCTTCCCAAACGTCGAGCATCTCACATCCAATTAGTAACCAAACCTCAAATTTAAAGCGATAAGACCTCACTTATATTCCAAAATAGACTAAGGACTCGTTTGGTAATAGCGTTAGAGATTAACGTTAGCGTTTTAGATAAAATTCTAATGGTGCAGATTATTTTGAAAACGCTAACACTAAACGCTGGCCGTAGATAGCCTTTTCAAACTGCTAACGTTAATCTCTAACGCTGATGCCAAACGGGGCCTAAAAGCATATTCTTTATGCTTAAATTCTTAATATCCAATTTCTTAAAAAGATTAAATCTAATTTTTTGTGTCTTATTTTTTATTAAAGAATTATAAAAATGATTATAAAAGGCATACTTGATATAGTAGCACTTTGTCAAGACATTATACGGAGTGCTCATTATATTCATAGATAGACTTTTATGTTATAAAATATTCAGGTTTGAGTCGGGTCGGATCGAGTAAATTATAAACTCACACCCGACCCGACCCGATGTTGGTTTCGGGTAAAAAATTTCGGGCCAGGTTTGGATTATTTAATTCTCGATTCGGGTTCAGATATTTTTGTGGTCAGTTGGGTCGGTTAAGCTCGAGGTCGGGTTGAATTGCCATCCTATACTGGGCCTGTGCTGGGTTCCATTAGACAGGATCCAAGAAAAATTGGGGCCCAACTTTTAAAGGGGTTTTATTGCGGAGTATTACAGATAAATTTGGGCGCAAAAAGTGATACCCAAATTGCTAAAAGCGCCAAAAAAAGTGCCTCTGGCCTCCCACTCCATTGACTCCAAGTATGATTTACTTTTGATTTCTTCTTCTTTGAGATTTAATTTTTAATTTTTAATTTATACTCCTTCCATCCAACAATAAACACTTTTCATTTTGAAAAATATATACTCATATTTTTTAAAATTACTTTATTTACAAATTGATATATCATAAAAAAGTACAAATTACATTTTAAAAATACTATCAAAATTCTACAAAACAAGATATGACAACAATATTTTATCTTATTAAATGTTTGATGAAAATATGCAAATAAATATAAGTTATCAAGAGCCTGTAATAGTAACTCTGAAATTCATCGTTAGACAAAAAGAGTAATTAGGATGGTGAATAAACTGCAATTTGATAAACAATCAGTTTTGTTTTATTTTTCCTCGTTTTTAATAAGAAATGGAAACAAACGGTTCATGGAATGATGGAAATTGTCAAATAAGAAATCATTTGGTGAGGTGTGATCCATTACTACTTATTAAAGAAAATGAATTCTATAAATAATCAAAATTATTAGTGTACACAAAATAAGTAAATTAATTTGCCTTAAAATTAATAAAGATAAGAACTATGGTGTAACACTTAGCTTGAATCTATAGAGTAATTTTTAGAAAAATGTGAGGGGTACACCATATGGCGGATCTACTTAATATTAGTTGGGGGCTAATGCCTCCTACTAAATTTATTTTTTAAGTTAAAATTATTTTTTTAAAGAAAGTTATGCATATGTGCCCCCAACAAAAATTAATAAGACCCCATCTAATTAAGTTACTTTTAAAGTTTTTATTTAATTTTTTTAGTAAATTTTATTTTATTACATACTTCCTCTGTTTCTTAAAACAGTTTTTCTTTCATTTTTTTCCTAAAACACTTCCATTTTTTGTAAAAAATGACAAACATATCTAAATTAAGTTGTTGCAATATACTCAATACAATTTGGATTGATATAATAAGTCATTTAAATGATTTGTCTCTTTTTTTTTCTTCAACGATAAAAATATAATTAAAAGGTCAAACTACGAAAATAAATCCTTCCCAAGTCAAAACGGGAATGTTCGAAACAAAATTTATTACTCCGGTATTTTTTTTGTCAATTCATATTGTCTATTAAAAAATCTAGGGGCGCTGTCCCTGGAGCCCTGACTAATAGTGCCCCCATCTAACTAAAATCCTGGATCCGCCACTGTGAATGACCAAGATGGATAGTGTACAAATGATGTATATTTGGTGTACCCTTAACATGACTCAGTTTTTTAAGCCCTGAACAAACACAATCATGTTTCCTCTAAAACTTCAAAAAATAGGAAAACACTATCGTATTACTGTAAAACAAAATCTCAGATATGCAAATCTATATTTTTGAAGAAGAAGAATGATGTACGCAGAGGCAGAGCACATCGCTCGTCAGAGCACTTCACAAGATCTTCGTAGAAAAAACGAGTTCCACCCACGAATTCTTCCTTGGGGCAACGGCCACGTCGGCGACGGGAAAGGTATGTACAACAATGCATTACGTTGGAGGCTGTCTTAGGAATTTTGGCAAATTATAAGGTACAACCAGCTCTGCCTACCTTTTTTTATACAACATGGGAAGTTTGTAATTTTCTTGAATCAACTTGCATTTTCACTCCTTTGACTATTAGTCGTGTCATGGCATATCAGAATGAGTACTAGCACACAGAAGAATGAATATATTTCATTACCAAAGTGAATGTACCTTTTTTCTACTTTCCTATGCAATTTGAAACCACACCGCAAGCCTACCAATATATATCAAAATGAGTACAAGCACACTCAAGATTGAACATACTTCATTTACAAAGTGAATGAACTTGCTTTTCTACCTTTATTTCTATGCAATTTTAAATCAAACTACAGGTATATGACTTGTATGCACTGCTGAGACTACATGCACATGAGTACTAGGACATACCATCATTATACATGCACACATACCATCATAGATATATACACAAACTTTACAAGTTATTATACATTCAAAATTCCAATAGGAATTCAACACTAATACTGCATCAGTCCAGGGAGCAGCCTGAACAACCAGCATATTTCTTCCTCAGAGCAGTGATCAATTTTCTGCGTCAAAATCGACCTCTCTGCGGACCAATAATTTCCATTTTCACCCTTACCCGACCCTTCGATTTTCGACACAACGTCAATGATCTCTTCGACCACATCAGCTATAACGCCCTCCACGCCCATCTTGCGTTGCATAGACACAACCTCACCCACATTACTGCCACGTTTGTTTCATTAAAAATTGTAAACGAATCATTTCATCACTCTAATCTCTAGGTCAGATGCCATGTTAAAAAAAACCGACTCAAGCGAAAGTAGTGATTTAAATGTGGTGAGACTTACTTAGGTTGCCCATATGTTATGAGGGAGAGTTTGGAGTCTTTGATTTTGGCAATTGCTCCAGGATCTCTCAGTATGGCTTTCACCTCAGAGACAATTCCTTGGAGGCCACCTGCCAAACACAGCTTTATCGCCTCTTCTAACGAGTTCCTTCTTGGGTCCGAATGGATTTCGTTTCCTCCATTGCTTAGGAAGAAAACCTTTAGAGAAACAAGTCAAATTTATGCCTCAAAGAAATCACGTTCCGGGTTCTAAAAAGCTTATATATATTGCACTTTAAAACGGACAAAGGAATGTTCAAAGGGAGAAATGAAAGGTTAATAAAAATACTTACAGGGTAGGTGGTTTGGAGCTTGGGGATTAAAAGGGCTGCATCAGGATGAAATGTTGAGAACATGATCTTCCTCTCTTTAGCATGATCAAATATGACCTGTTTTATATTAGTAGCCATTAATGAACCAGCTTCGACCAAAAGCTCAAGCTTGTGGCTAAAGACAGCGATCGAGGTTCAAACAGGTGACCTCTAAATCAGAAAGACTTCTGATACCATGTTAAATTATACTAACACAGTCAAAAAGATAAGTTTGTGATTGTAGGGCGAGGAAAGGTTTTATAACAGATGGACCGAAAACCAGACCTGCATGATAACTTGAATGGCCCTTACAAGTTCTTCCTCAGAGTAAACTCGATTGTTATCAAACTTCAGCTCAATGTTAAAGCCCAAGGAGTCATTATTAATGCTCTCAAACACGTCTCTCAATGTACACAGATAATCGTCATCTTCAACCACCCATTCAAAGATTCTCCCGCATTTTGTTTTTCTGTATATCGGCTTTCCACCCTGTTTCTAACAAAAAAAATGTGTCTCTTATGAATGATCATACAAATGACCGTTTATTGTTGATTAAGTTTTCATTACGTTTTACGCATTCCTTTGAGGACCGTACGAGAGAAACTCATCCAAACTGAGGTCTGTAACTCTGTTCTCAACAATTTCACCCTGGGAATGAAAACAAGAGATGTCCAATTTATAGAAATAAACAAACATACAGATAGATAGTAAAGATTAGTATTCCCTCCGTCCCCCATAGATCTTTCCAATAGCCCCTTTTCTTTGTCCACAATAGATCTTCTCATTTCATTTTTTAACAATTAAAATACCACAACTACCCCAACTTACTTTATTTATTACACCTCACCCACCTCATTTAATACACTCCACCCTTTTTTCATTAAGGGTATTATGGTAAACTTTCACCTTTTTTCAACTCTCCTTAAAAACCACCAAAAGTTAAAATGAGAACATCTTAAGGGGACGGAGGGAGTATTATAGAAGTGGGCACTAAAGTGACCTTTTCTTTGGTATAGAGGAACACATCATGGAAAATTACAGGAAAACCATCCTTTGTCACCTACAAACACATTTTTCTTTCATAAAATTTATGTGTTCTTCGCCTAATGATCGAAGATCCATGACACAGAGACAAAGAAAGGGATCATCAGTATGTGCCTTGATTGAAGTTTTATGTTCCCAAACAAACATCATTCATATAAACTTTACTCACAAGTCGTTAAGAATGAATGAGGTGGGCTAAAACATTACTCTGATATTAAACATTATTTCTCAGATTAAACATTTATAGCCTGAGAATCTGAGATTAAACATTTTTTTATCATATTATGCCCATTTTTTTCCGAATGGGCATAACGATTAATTAAAGCAAATTAAAGGCATATATATATATATATATATATATATATATATATATACGCCGACCTGAACGTCGAATTCGACGAAATCGAGACGGGAAAGTCTCGCGGCGTGTCGGAAAGAGCGTATGGTGTTCTCTCTCGTTGCTCTCATTCTGGGGTCCTCACATAACTCCAACAAATTCATCCCATTCCCTCTGTGACCCATCACCACAAACTTCCCTCCCTTCTTCTCCTTCTTCCCATTCTCTTCTCCGCCTGAACAAAATATATATATTTCACAATTTTGTTTTTTAATTTTAAAAAAAAATAAGATTGATAAATAATGAGGAAAAAAATGAACCCGAAATGAGTGGAGGAGAGGATGATAATAATGCGGGGGCATTGTTAATTTCTGGCACAACTTGATGATGATGATGATCAAGAACGGGCAGTTCTGGAACACGGGCAGCCTTCAAAGCCATTACATATATTCATATCATCATATATGTTCTTCTTTCAAGAAATTAATTAAAGGGTTCATAAAATGATCTTCAATTGTTCTGGACATTTCTTCCCATTCATAAATGTTCTTAGCTGGCATGAAAGGAGGAGGAGGAGGAGGAAGAGAAAGAAAAATGGCGCTGAGGTGCCCACTTTATTATCAGACGCACGTACATACGGTGGGTTCCGTTATATTCTGAACAATTATTAAATTCATTCACATGTGCGTCTCTCGATTTTATGTACCCTACCCCTCTATCTTCCACTTAGAGCATTTGTTGTGTTGCTCTCATGTCGGTGGACGTTGCGCAGTTGGCAAGAGAAGAGTTGTCAAGGGAATAAGATCCGAATTTGATTCCTGACAATTGCGCTGGGATGTAAATATGCTAAGCATAGGGTTTTTACAAGTATCAGGAGTAGACTTCACTCAGTGATCGTCTGGTCGGGTCTGAGGAGGCCTTCGGGGATGAGGCTCATCCTTTTTGTGTTCCTCTCACTTTCTCCTCTATTTCTCATTTTTTATTGCCGCATAACTTTTTTTTTTAACTTTTCCGACGTTACTTTAACATTATATTTGATTCAAGAAATTAGGAAAGAAAAGAAAAGAAAATGATTTTCTCTCGTTTTCATTACCAAAATGGGTGGAATTTGGTTTTTCTTCCACTTGGTATAATTTGTCTTCTCGTTTTCTTTTCATTCCACTCTTCTTTTTTTCCCTCTCCAACCAAACAAGAAAAAACTATTTTCCACTTCATTTTTTTGTCCCTTTCAAATTCCATGAACCAAACGTAGTGTAATAGTTCCTCCTATTTTCTCTTCTCTTTAATGGTTGGCCCACAAATTATAAATTTATTAAATTTTTTTTAAAGAAATAAATCATCTTGATATTTTATAATATGTTTATTTTATCTACAAAATATTTATCATACCAAATTAAAATAAGTAATGTAAATTTATGGAATATTTTTTAATTTAAAAAATATACTCCCTCCGTCCCTAAATATTCACAACATTTGCTTTTTCAACAATCGCGGGAACTTTTGTTTATTTCGGCGTTTTCATTGGTTATTTGATAAAATAAAATATTCTTGACACCTCTTATTTCGAAGAACTTTTTATGTAGTTTTTTTATATGTAAATTTTATTTTTTATTTCTATACCAATATGTAAATAAAATAATTTGAAAAAACTTAATATTTTGCCTCGAGAATACAAATGTGGCAAATAATTTGGGACGGAAGGAGTATGGAGTATTTTATTTGAGAGCACCGGACATGAGCAATCCCACAGGGCCCACCAAGATTCATTTTAGAGCCTCCGAGAAAATATATGATGTTGACCCCGGACATTTCCAGTGTATGCTTCTTCTAAACACTAGAATTATTGTGTGGTCTGGCAATGTATTACTCCTATTAACGTATTTCATGTTCATCGTCCACATCTGGGCACTTTGCTTCCAGTGCAGGCAACTACACTTTGTTAAGAGCTTGTTTGGGAGTAATTAATTCCTTGATAAAGTGATTTCCACAAAAGCTGAAAGCAAAAGCACCTCATACCTGCTTCTCCAAAACGGTGTTCTGTGTATAAAATAGTGGTGGTGAAAAGCAGAAGCTGACATGCCAAACAGAATAAAATCACTTCCACTCAAAGCAGAAGCTAAATTATTAAAAGCAGTGCACTACCAAACACCCTCTAAGTATCATGTCCTTCATCACTTCCCTGGTGACATTTAAAAAAAAACAAAATATATCGTCTTTAGTGTTTTAACACATCATCTGATCCGATCTGATTTTAGTAGGACTTGATATGATCCCGTCTAACAATGTCAAAGCACATGATAAAATTTGCTTTAAAACACCATGAAATCAAGGTGGAACAATATTTACCGAGACGGAGGGATTATATATGGAAACATTTTCATGAAGTTTTTAGATATTTTTACATTTCACCTCTCAAACATTTGGGGGGGTTGAATATGCCTTTATGATTGGTGCAAAACCATGGCTTCCAGAGAGTATCCATTTAACATAAGAGTATAGGACTCACGAACCCACGTAGTGCAAAGAGCAACGTTATACACCCCGATGTCTGCTCTATAGTTTTGAAAATATTGGTTTTCTCTTCTCTTTTCGTGCTGAGATTGCCTCTTTCAGATCATCAGATAGAAGGACACCGGAGTTCCATGTTGCAACATAATCTAGAGCTTGCTCCACTGTCAAATCTCTACTCCTCAGCAACACCGCTTTTGTTCCGATCACAGCGAGGGGAGACTTTTCTGCTATTCCTGCAATATTCGGTCAAAATGAATATTATGATTTCAGCACATTTGAACTTGTATATTGGGCACGCAAGGACTCACGTGGAATCTCACAACTACTTGTGCACCGTGTGGCATGAACATGAACACGGCAAGAAGGTTCTTAAGATGAAGGGCACATAATGCCTTTAAGAAGGTTGACAAAGGAAAAAGAATATACGATGTCATCAATACGAAGGAATATGTTTTCTGCGGAAAATTTCATCATTTTGAAAGTCTTGTTTATCTGTTTGATCAACAAGCCCTGATATATAAACAGCTCAAAGCTGCCAAATTGCAGGAATTCTATTGGTGGGTAAGAGTTTCTGTATATATAGCATGATCATAAGACATTACAATGGAATGGCTATAACCCACACGTAGATATACAGAGATGTGATCAATTTAGCAAAGCATTACGGTAAGCAAAGACAGCAGGTTATGCAACATTATTAAGGGTCCATTTTGAACAATGTTTATGAATGGAGTTAGAATTTTGGATAATTTTTAATGGTATATATAAAATTTGAAAACTCTAAAGCTAAACACTATCATCTGATTGCCTTTCCATAACACTGAAGGTAAATGTTTAATGGAATAGAATGTTAGTAGTAATGCACAATTAGCTTAATTTCTTCTACTCTTTTTAGTGACATGACTTGTGAATTAGTCTTTTAGTACAGATCCCTATAATATATACACGTATTCTCTTGTATTTCTCCTTAGCTTGAACTTTTCTCCTGCTAGGGCTCTGTTCTTCAAGCTCCAGAGCCAGATTCATCTTCTTGATTGAATCATGAACAACATTGCTTGATTCTAGGTATTTTCATTCGATGGATTGGGTAATCTTTCACGGATTCCCAATAATGGCTGAAAACACTGAAAATTCTGCATCTTCTACCACTGATTCTGCAAATCCTTCGTATTTGCATCCTTCGTACCATCCTGGATTGAATCTTGTAAGCAAGCAATTTGAAGGAGAAGGTTTTGGATCCTGGCACAAATCAATGTCCATAGCCTTATCGGCTAAAAACAACCTTGGATTTGCTAAAGGGAACATTACGAGCCCTAGTGATTGAATCTTGTGAGCAAGCGATCAGAAGGAGAAGGTTTTGGATCCTGGTAGAAATCAATGTCCATAGCCTTATCAGCTAAAAACAAGCTTGGATTTCCTAAAGGGAACATTACGAGACCTAGTGAAGACTCTCCACAGTTCAATGCTTGGCAGAGGTGCAATGATATGGTCACCTCTTGGATATTGAATGCTCTCAGTAAGGGTATTGCAGACAGCGTTCTGTATGCAAATTCAGTGGCTGAAATATGGACAGAGTTGGATGAAAGCTTTGGTCAGGGCGAAAGGGAGTTCTGACATTGCTTCGTATTTCACCAAACCCAAGAAAACCTGGAATGAACTTCACACGGTGTGCAATCTTCCTAAGTGCAATTGTGGAGCTGTCCAAGCCTTACTTAAGTATGAGCAATTGAGCAAGAAGCCAAGAACAGAAGCTTGTCCAATGTTTTGTGGACGTGAATTTACAATGCCATTAGGGGTAATAATTTACTAATTAAACCCTTACCTTCAGTTAGCTAAGCCTATGGTCTACTGATTCATGAAGAGAGAGACAAAGGGAAGTTCAAGCTCCTTCTCCTTTCATGGCAGAACACGCATCTCTTAGAGTTATAGGTCAAAACACTTCTAAACCTGGTAACACTCAAGGAGGATACAAAAGAAAACATGACAACAGGGAAAATATTGTTTGTGATCATTGCAAGAAAACAGGTCACACGGCAAACAAGTGCTATAGGCTTGTTGGTTTCCCTAAGGACTTTAAGTTTACTAAAGGGAAGAAGATTGCAGCAAACACTTTCAGTGGAAAGGATCCAGAATTAACTGAGGAAAATATCAACTACCAAAATAATACTGAAATGTATAACCAATTCTTGCAATTCATCAACTCTTTCTAATCTGGCACTCAAGGACAAGCCTATGCTACCTATGGAGGTTCTAAGGCTCATGCTTTCTCTGCTCACATGGCAGGTATGACCTCAATTTCATTTAAGTCTTTGTCTCCACATTTGTGTAATACTATGTTATCAATTGTTAATCATGCTTGGATATTAGAGACTAGAGCTACAGATCATATGTGTGCTCATATCAATCTTTTCATTGATCTTAAACCCCTTCACACTCCTAAATACGCACTACCAAATAACCATAAACTCCCTATTTTCAAGTCTGGAAAAGTCACAATACATCCTGAACTCGCCTTGGATGCTGTTCTATGTGTTCCTAATTTCAAATACAATCTACTTTCTGTGGGAAAATTGTGTAATCAACTGGGACTGACTGCCAATTTTCCCAACGATCATTGTATACTGCAGGGCCCTACCATGAAGAGGCCACTGGTTCTTGCCTTCTTCGTGAGAAAAATGGTGGACTCTACATTTCACAAGGGTCTGACTCTCAACAAGTTCCTTTCCAGATTGATATGGGTCATAGTCGTTGTTCTACAGATAGAAACAGTTTGTTTCTGTCCATTTCGTGTAATAAACTTAGCAAGAATATTGATGCTAGTCTGTGGCACATGAGACTTACCCGCTTATAAAATATAAATTGAAATCCATTGTTTCCCTTGATTTAGAAGACATTGATTCTTTGTCTAAATGTGATGTTTGTCCTAAAGATAGAAAAAAGTTTCTTTTTCCACATAGTCAAAATGATAGAGTGCCACATTTGCTGTTATTTTATGTTATTAATATTTATAGTAGAGTCAGGGGTCATTTGTTTATCAGGTTAAATGTCTTATTTTACTTATGTTAGTTACTAAGTAGTTTCTGTCAAAAAAAAAAGTTACTAAGTAGTAAATAATGTGTAAGTGGCCTAAATTCTAGGAGTAGTTGCTAAGTGATGTGGTAGTGAGCCTAAAATCTAGGAATAGTTGATAGGTAATGTGGTAGTGGGCCTAAATTCTAGGGATTGGTAGTTATTTTGCTTCTATAAAGATTGAGGCTCATTATTTGTAAATTTTATCCAGGAAAAAAATCAATATTTATTATTGGAGATTCTCCTTGGCTTTATTAATTATACGAGTTTAAGATTCTTGCTCATATTTTGATAAAGATTCTCATTCATCTTTATTATTTTATGGAGTTAGATCCTGATTTCATAATTTGATAAAATCTATCTTTCATTTATTCTCCCCCACAAGTCTTGAGTTCTATTAGAGCCATAAGATCTTTATGGGTTCCTTCTACAGAAATTTAGTTCATCCATTTTCTCGATACAATTTCTCACCCAACAGTTTTACTCCTTATGAAGTACACCAATTGCCTTACATTGTAGCTCGTCTTGATGGCATTAATTCCAAACAAGCAGTTCTGAAGTTCAAGGTACGGTTGTTAATCATGTGACACTCTACAAAAGAATCACATCCAGTAAATTTCATCTAGAGGTTGGAAAGAAAATAACTCAGAAACAAAGATGCAAGGTTGTTAAATCTAGAGGGCAGTTTAGAAAGGCTACCTTAGCCTTAAGATTTGAGTGGAACTGCATGTTATCATGAGCTGAAAATTTAAATGTGGTCCAGTGTTATTCTGGTTCATCTCTCATGGAGGCGGATTGGAGGGTACAACAACAACAACCCAGTGGAATCCCACAAAAGCAGGGGTCTGGGGAGGGTGTGTGTAAGCAGACCTTACCCCCACTAAAAGTAGAGAGGCTGTTTCCAAGAGACCTCCAACTCAAACATCATCTCCCATGGAGGGTGATGCAGAAAAAAGAATACCAGAAGCGTTGGAACGCAATGATGAGACAAAGGTAAATTAAAGAGCCTTCATTCAGGATATCTTCTCTCTTGCAGAAAAGGAGTGGCAACAGACAGCCCGATACATTCTTCTCCTCACTTAAGAATCTCATGAGAGCTAACAACCGATCCACAATACTCTATGGCAGAAACTACATCTGCCACAATGAGTTCAACATTCCCTTATATATGTGTCAACACCAACCTAGAAAATTCTACAACATTACTGATAAAGATTCATGAACCCTTGGATGGTGGCGTCATGTAATGATTTGTCCCTGAAGCTGTTATGTCATACCTGGACCCTTTTGTTCGAAACAGCACTGCTTTAATTGGAGCTTTTCATTATATTGTCTTCCTACCACCTCTATCGAAACCTCCAGATATACAGAGAAGCTATTGCCTAGATTTTGCCTTGAGGACAAGGCAAATTTCAAAGGAGGGGATAATGACAAAGTGCCACATTTGCTGTTATTTTATGTTATTAATATTTATAGTAGAGTCAGAGGTCATTTGTTTATCAGGTTAAATGTCTTATTTTACTTATGTTAGTTACTAAGTAGTAAATAATGTGTAAGTGGCCTAAATTCTAGGAGTTGTTGCTAAGTGATGTGGTAGTGAGCCTAAAATCTAGGAATAGTTGATAGGTAATGTGGTAGTGGGCCTAAATTCTAGGGATTGGTAGTTATTTTGCTTCTATAAATATTGAGGCTCATTATTTGTAAATTTTATCCAGAAAAAAATTCAATATTTATTATTGGAGATTCTCCTTGGCTTTATTATTTATACGAGTTTAAGATTCTTGCTCATATTTTGATAAAGATTCTCATTCATCTTTATTATTTTATGGAGTTAGATCCTGATTTCATAATTTGATAAAAACTATCAAATTAAATCATAGCAGCCGTCGTTTTTATTTGATTCACATAGACATTTGTGGTCCTTATCATACCATAACTCATAATGGTCTGTTTTATTTCCTCACCATTGTGGATGATTTCTCTAGAGCCACATGGACCTATCTTTTGGTTGCCAAAAGCAATGCTCAGATTTAATGCAATCATTTGTCATCATGGTCAATACACAGTTCAATACACTTTGATAATGCTTTGGAATTAGGAAGAGTTAAGCCCTCTCTCTTTTCTTTGCCTTAAAAGGAATATATCACCAAACCAGTGTTAGGAACGCACCTCAATAGAATGGAGTAATTGAAAGGAAACACAAACATCTCATTGAAACGTCTAGAGCAGCACTGCTTGTCCAATCCAATCTTCCTTCTTTTTTTTTGGGGGGGGGGAGGGGGGAGGGGGAATGTGTTCTCATCGCCACATATCTCATCAATAGATTTCCTTCAAAACTGCTCCAAGGAAAGAGTCCTGAAATACTCATTCCATTCCAAAATAAGGTTGTTGTTCGGTTTAGGTTTACGATGTTTGGCTGAAGTTATTTTCAAATCAATACAAATAAAATTGGTGTATAATATATATATATATATATATATATATATATATACATCAAAAGTTCTACAAAACAAGTGGCAACAAGAGTATTTTATTTTATCAAATGATCACTGAAAATGTATAAAGAAAGTAGAGTTAGTTTGTCTTGTGAATAATAACTGGGAGTCTTTTTTTGGGACGGAGGGAGTACTATTTGGGAAGTCTCCCAATTATGCTCATTTAAGAGTTTTTGGATGTCTTTGTTTTGTGGCCACTTAAAAGCAAGGAACATAAAAAGATCATCAGTGGATGTCTTCCTAGGATATCCCTATGGCAAGAAGGCTTACAAGGTATACTATCTTTCCACACAGAAATTTGAACACTCCAGAGATGTCAATTTCATTAAACTACTTTTCCTTTTCATATTGATACCCGTACTGATTCCATCTTTCCCTCAACCAATATCTCAAGATATTCTTCTGAAGATGACACACCATCTTCAAATTTCAACCTCAACTTCTATTCAACCAAATGTCCCACACAACCAAAGCCTCCCTAATTCTTCAAATCCCTCTCATATCATTCTAGACCATTTGTCCACCACTTTTACAAACAACTCTTCAAATCATCCAGTCATACCGACAAGATACTACGTATTCCACAAGGTCCCACACTACTCCTTTATATCTCAAAGATTACATTTGCTCTTCTTCTCTTTCATCTCTTTTCTCCACAAACACAGGTCTTCCTTTTTGTGCGCATACTATTACATTAAGTCCTTCCTCATCACACATATACTATTATACTCTAATGCGCTAACTCAAGCTAGTCAACAATTTTTACATAGAGTATCCCAAATGCAGGAACCAAAGACTTATGTAGAAGCCAGAGGTCATCCTGCTTGGCAGTAAGGAACTTAAGGCACTTGAAGATACAGGGACCTGAATTATTTGCTATCTTCCCAAATGCAAGAAACCCATCAACAACAAATGGGTTTATAAAATAAAATACAAGTAAGATGGAACTTGGAAGCCTGGAAAGATACAAAGCTAGACTTGTCTTTAGAGGCTGCACTCAAAACGCTGGAATTGACTATTACGAGACGTTTTCTCGTCTGGTAAAAATGGCCACTATTAGGTGTCTTTTGGCCACATCTGTCAAACACAAATGGCGAGTTTTCCAGTTAGATGTCAACAACACCTTCCTCCATGGAGATTGAGATGAAGAAATATACACGAAACTACAACCTGGTTTTCCATTACCAGAAAACAATCAAGCCTCACGCATCAAAAGTCTATATGGTTTAAAACAAGCATCCAGATAGTGGTATGCTAAACTTTCCACAGTTTTGAAATCCAAAGGCTATGTATCTTCCAAGAATGATTATTCCCTTTTTACTAGAGAAAGAAAATCTTCAATTGTCCACTTGATTGTGATTGTATATGTGGATGACATCTTAATCATAGGAAATGATCTTGATGAAATTACTGATTTGAAATCCCATATGGATTCTACTTTCAAAAACAACGACCTTGGACTCCTGACCTACTTGGTTTAGAGGTTCTTTAATTATAACCAGTGCATGATTATAACTCAGAAGAAGTTCACTCTTGATCTTTTGAAAGAATTTGGTGGCCTTGATGGTCCTTCTGCTATTTGCCTTTTGGAGGCTCATCTCATCATCTGCAACTCCATATGACTAACAGTCCACCAATCTCAGATCCTGCTTCCTACAGAAGATTAGTAGGCAAACTCAATTTCTTAACACACACAAGGCCAAACATTGCCTATGCAGTTCAATTCCTAAGCCAATTCGTGCAAGATCCAAGTCAGTCACATTGGGGAGCAGCAATGCATACTCTTCATTATCTCCATCGGAATCCGTCTCAAGGCATATTTTTCAATTCCACTAATAACTACAAACTAGATGCTTATTGTGATTATGATTGGGCATCTTGCCCTACTTCTTGTTGCTCAGTCAGTGGCTACTTCATCATGTTAGGAGAAAGTCCTAGTTCTTGGAAAGCCAAGAAACAACCCATTGTGTCTCTCAGCTCAACTGAAACTGAATATAGATCAATCCGGTGTGTGACTGCTGATATGGCTTGGCTTGGCTTTCGTGTTTCTTATCAAAGTTTTCCATCCCTGACATCATTCCTATACCTGTCAAATGTGATAGCAAGGCAGCTATCTACATTGCCACAAACCCTGTTTATCATGAGCGCACAAAACATATTGAACTAGAATGTCATTTTGTTTGGTAGAAACTACAAGACGGTCTCATCACAGTTGATTACATCCCTACTGGTGATCAACTCACAGACATCTTCACCAAGAGTCTGTCGGGTCCTATCCATCACAAGTTACTTCCCAAGTTGGGGGTTCTTTCACCCTCCAACTTGAAATACACATTTAGCTTAATTTCTTCTTCTACTCTTTTTAGTGATGTGGCTTGTGTATCAGTCCACAGCTTGTAATGTTGAACCCAATTCTCAACATCAGTTCTTTTGTTACAACAAACTCCTCTCTCGCTATGGCTCTGTTCTTCAAGCTCCAGAGCCAGATTCATCTTCTTGATTGAATCATGAACAGAACCAACATAGATCGGTAATACAAATGCCTCTTATATGCAAGTTATGAACTTCATGTTTTTATCAAAAAAGAAGAAGAAGAAGCAGCAAATTAAAGGAATATTAAAGGAAATTGCAAATTGGATTGTTTTAAAAGGAAGGCAAAGGAAGAGTTACCCTGAGCAACAGCTTTTACACCTTCCTCCAAGGCTTCTTTATTAGGGAAAACTTTGGAGATCAAGCCTATCTCCTTAGCCTCTGAACCAGTAAATTTACGGCCAGTTAAAGACAGCTCCATTGCATTTCCGTATCCAACAATTCCAGGAAGCCTCTGGAGTGTTCCGAGGTCAGCAGTAATGGCCATGTCAACCTCTTTAACCGAGAAATAAGCATCGGCCGCACAGTACCTAATGTCGCAGGCAGTAATGATGTCAATTGCACCGCCGATGCAGGCGCCATGGACGGCGGCAATCACCGGCTTCCTACACCTCTCGATAGCCGTCACCGCTTCCTGCAGGAATTTGATGTCACGCCTGAGCTTCTCGCCGTTGCGGCCGGGTTCAGCGGATCGGGACACAATTGAGCCCGATGCAAGAATATCCACATCGATTCCGGAGCAGAAGTGTTTCCCGGCGCCGGCCAAGACGATAACGGAAAAATTGGGGCTTTCGTCGAGCGATGCAAGGGCTTTAGGGAACTCGATGAAGAATTCGCGGGAGAGAGCGTTAAGGCGTTCAGGTCGGTTCAAATTTACGGTAACTATCGGAGAATCTGCAACGATATGCAGTGATCGGTACTTCTCCATTTTCTGCCTAAGGATGGAAGGGATGCCTTGTAATGCAAGTGCCAACGGGAAAGATATTGTCCCTTTTTTTTGGAAAAAAAAAATTACTACGGAGTATATAATACGAGTAAATTCTTTTTCATTTGATATACGGAATTGGTGGAATTAGAATTGAATTGAAATTGAAATTCCATGAGATTTAATTCCTTAGAATTAGAATTGAATTTACCAATTTCAATTCATTTTTTGCACTATCAACTCCAAATCCACATAATTTTTGTGCTACACAACACCAGAATTAGAATTGAAGTCCTCAATTCCAATTCCATAGTTTGAATTCCGTGTACCAAACGGGGCCTAAGGTCTCGTTTGGTATATGGAATTCAAACTATGAAATTGGAATTGAGGAATTCAATTCCAATTCTGGTATTTAGTACTCCCTCCGTCCCATTTTAAATTGCTTGTTTGCATTTTTTCTCCGTCCCAAAATAAGTTGCCTGTTAGTTGTTTTCGTAAACTTTAAAAAATAAAATACCTAAACTACCCCTAAAATAAGTCACTCTTCTTCACCTTATCTTCTCATTCATCATCACCCCTTCTAAAAAGTAATGCCAATTTTGGAAAATCAACTCTATTTTTGTTTTCCTTAAATATGCCCAAAAGTCAAAACAGACGATTTAAATTAGGACGGAGGGAGTAGCACAAAAGTTATATGAATTTAGAATTGACAGTGCAAAAAATGAATTGGGATTGTCAGAATTCAATTCTATGGAATTGAATCCTGTGGAATTTCAATTCCAAATCAATTCCAATTCCGTCAATTCCGTATACCAAACGGACCATAAAGGATTAATTTTTATATTTAGTCCTCGTTTATCAAATATTATACCATATACTTTTAGTCCTTATAAACCTTTCCACAATACTTCCGAAAATGCTTGGTTCACAAACAAAATTGTCACAAATTTCACAAATTTACTATTTGTAAACTTCAATAAATAAAATTAAATAGTCTAAATTAATTTTAAAATGAAAATTTAAACCATAAATATAGTAAGTTTGTGAAGTCCGTTCCATTGCTGCTAATTGGAGAGTACCAGGACATGCTCAACGCACACAGACTGTTAGTTCTACTGCAACTGCGAGATCTCTGGCACCAGTCTGAACTGCACCATCGTCGTCCGGAAACCACTAGAGAATCAGCAGAATTGCACAATCGTGGCCGACCCGGCTTACTTCCCTCACCCACCCACCCTCAATTTGCTCCAGCAGAAGGGACTACGGTTGAAGAAATCGCGAATAGCCTAATGGCTCTTGGAGGAAGGAGATGACAAAAGTGTATTGTCATCTATGTAGATGTTTGTTATAGTGTCTGGAAGGAAAGAAACATGCTCATCTATAAGCAAGAAAGCCCCCGTGAAGAGACTATGTTTAGAGGGATTCTTCTTCATTAGACATCATATTAGAGCATCTCCAACCCATAGTGTATATGGTAAAATTTACACTATATGCAATATACTATTCATTTTTTGATACTCCAATGGATAGTGTAAACTAAAGATTAAAAAACACTATAGTGAAAAAAGCAATTCCCAACTTGTATATATACAAGATGGTGCAAACCAAATGCTAAAATAATTATTTCAATATTTAGTTTTAAATGATACTAAAAATATTATTAATAGATTGGTTACATTATGCACATCATAAATGTATTTATAATTAAACCAAAAATTAAACATATAAATAACTTAAAATAATAAAATATTATAAAAATGTATTATATAGAAGATATGGTTGGAGTGAATATAAAAAAGTGAATGTGTAAAACACTATTGATAGTGTAAACTAAATTTTACACTATCATTTTTTCCACTATGGGTTGGAGATGTCTTAGGAGAGGGGAAAGCAAAGAAAGGCAATAATCAGATTTATTTGTTATTTTGTACTCCCTCCGTCCCTAAATAGATTACAATCTTTTTTTCTCTCTCCTCTCGATAACTTTTGTTTGTTTACACGATTTCACTAAGTATTTGATAAAATAAAATATTCTTGTCACATCTTGTTTTGTAGAACTTTTGACGTAGTTTTTTAATATGTAATTTTTATATCTTACTAATATACCAATTTGTAAATAAAATGATTTAAAAAAGTAAGAAATTTTACTCCGTAACCCGCAATTTGTAATCAAATTGGGGACGGAGGGAGTACTTAATTGAGGTGTTTTGAATTACCTTTGTAAAAGCTATAATCTTTGATGAGTTAGATTGTGAAATACAGTGCTCATTTGGCTGAAATAATACGGAGTAATAATAATCCTTTATATATTAAAAAAGAGAGTTGAGCTTCTAGAATTGCGACATTTGGCACGCTGACTAGACAATATTTTAACACCTCCTCATCCATGTCAGCAAGAGCATTGAATGGAAGTTTCCTTATTAAAGCTCTTAATATACATAATTACTTTATTATTTTAGAAATAAAATTATATATTAAATTTTAAATGAGGAAAACTTTGGCAAAAAGGAATATATTTGTATGATTTTTTTGTCACTCATTAAATTATTCTTACATATTTTTTTTATAAATTATAAAATAATGGGAAATTCCATGTGGAGTTTCATATAAATATTTTCATTAACATTGAAAATATTTAAAGGAATAAGGAAAAGGACATATGCAGTTACAAATATTTTAATTAATATTCAAAATATCTGAAAAGATAAATTTATTTTTATGTAAATTTGTAAAACAACCCACCACTTTCCATTTTTACTTTTTCCAAAATAAGATTTATATAATAATTAGTACATATGCTTCATAAGTAACCCGAAGGTTCTATTTTTGAAAAACTATCATTTATAAAGAACACCGATTAAATTTTTGTCTCTAAGTAATGTTGAATAATAGTAATAATAATGATGATGACAATGGTATTTTAATAAAAATCATGTGAGCAATACATTTTCTTTATTCCGAAAAATGAATTTCATTGAAATAATTCAGAATCGACATAAATTTCTTTCGACCCCGTGCATGGCACGGGTCAGAATACTAGTAATATATAAAATACACTTAAATAAACTTTTAGAGTATTTCTAGTTTGTTCTATTTTTTTCAGTTTTTCTAATTTTCTTTAGTCTTTTCCAGTTCTTTCTAATTTTTCTAATTTCTTCTAGTTTTTTCCATTTTATTCCAACATATACTCTTTTTCCAGCCCTAAAGAATATGCTCTAATTAACTTGCTCAGTTCCGACGTTGGCCTAATATCAGCATAATTGACTTTAAAGTCAAAATTTTTGACTTTATGCTTACGAGGTGCAATTGACGTAGGTGGGGGATGGGTTTGGGTCGGGACTTGGCAGGGGGGGTTAGGAGGGGTAGGAATCATCAATTTTATGAACGGAACTCCGTAAGGGGGCAGTGGCTTCCGTGGCCACCGGAATGCAGTGGCCATGGAACCGGGCCGAAATAATACTCCGTATAATATAATGTTGATAAGGGAATATGTTTTTCTCAACACGACATTTGTCACTATTTATACAAAAAACTGAAAAGGAAACAATTGTTTTTTAAATAAATATCATCGCATTTAACTGTATAGTTAGGTTCGGAAATTTAGTTTACAAAATTAGAGGACCTATTGCTTTGTATGTATAACTAATTAATTTCTTTTATATTAAATCATAATTTAAATTTAAATTATTGGAACGTGTGTCTACGTAATTGACCCAAATAAAGAAACTAACCATTTTTATTTATACACATTAAACACTAAAAGCCATAATTCCTTTATATTTAATCAATAAATTTTTCTTTATTTTTAATTCATAATTTAAAAAATTATTACGTTGGTCTACGGAATTCACGTTCTAAAAAAGAAAACTAACCTTTTTTATTCCTACGCATTAAACACATGATTTTATTTAATTTCTAATTTAAATTAGTATACCCTAAAAGTCTTACCGTGTTACCATTTTTAATTAAATACCATAAAAGTCTTACCTTTTTAACCAAGTGCATTTGGGCAGGAATTCCATGGAGCCATTTTCCCTTGCTTTTAAGAACAGAATGATGGTCATGTACATTACCAAAAATAATAATAATGTGTACATGTACAATGCCACATTACAACCACATTACTACAGTGCAAAGTTCTATTTCGGGAATAAAAACATTGAACTCCTATTTTAGTATTTTTAATATTTTAGTCCTATTTAGGGTGATTTCTATTATTTATTGCGTTAATAAAACTTACTCCCTCTGTCCATAAATGATCTTCTCATTTTCTTTTTTGGTCCGTCAAAAAATATTCTTCTCATTTTCTTTTTTAGCCTATTTTTTAAGAATAAATTTCAATAATATATTTCTATTTTACCTCTAATCTACTTTTTTATTAATTTTTAATAAGAAAAGAAGCTCTAAAAGTTTATAGTTCATGAATTTTTGTAAATTAGCCACTTTTTTATTACTCCTGAATAAGCGTGTCAAGTCAACACGTGAAGAACATTTCCAGATGAAGAGAGTACCCCATAATAAAAGCTCACTACATATATAGTTGAAGCTATTAAATTATATTAAGTTGAATTAATTATATTTATATACAAGTTAAGATGAAATAGATTTACTTGCAAAATTTTCGTGGTACCAAAAGAGGTGGAATTGTCATGTGTCTTGTGTCCCTTGCATGTGGCCAAGTTTTTGGTACCAAATGACGGCACAAACAATTTTCGGTGCTAAATGGTGTGTTTGACACACCCATACCGTGCAGCCTAAAGAATTAATGAGTGAAGAAATGGTTCAAAATGGTATGGATTCATAACCGAACACGTAACCTAAACCCACAAACATATTCACATGCACCACAGGAGAGAGGCAAATGATTGAATCTACGTACTTGCGGACGGTTTAGAAACTAACGTACGTGCCCAATTATGTTAGGAAAAATAATGTGAATCTTCATTTTTAACGCTAGAGAATACTCCAACTATATATCAATAATAATAATAATAATAATAATAATTATCTCCCTTTTAATAATAATAATAATAATAATAATACTAATTTCTCTAAGCCACAAAAATGTTTCACTATTGACTGAATACGAAAAT